ACCAGATTGATGAAACACAACACAAACATGCTCAAGCTCATGAATCACCATGGAGACAGACAAATGACAAGAAGATCCTCTGGAATGGTTTTAAATGAGGAAAAGATGTGGTCAGAAGATGCTTTTCTTCTAACTAGAAAGTTGAATGCCGTGCATAACTCCCTAGGCATAGCTCAAGAGGCGAAGGATTCAAATCCCAGATTTTGTAAAAGATCCAAAGGGCATTAGGACACCGACAAAGATGCTGGAGTTTCCTGTGAACGCCATCACTAACAAACCAATGGCTCCATTTCTGGGGTGAACACTTAGGATTATTACTTGGGTTCGTTCTTGGTGGGGCTCATGTAACACATCTTTCAGATGTGCTCACTTTCGAGTCTTTGCTCAGGACCCTCTGTCAAACGACCACACTGAGAAACGTCAGTGCACACTGACTCCTCGGGCTGAGACCCCTTTTACCCCCCTGACATCCTGTTTCATCCAGAGATTACCTAACCCACTGCCAGTTACACCAAGTTCCCAATTCGCCCACACATTATGTACCAGAAATCCATCTAAATGTAAATGAAGATCTATTTCCTCATAAAAACAATATTATAAATGGTCATCAGGGTTCATCAATACGCTTCTATTTCATCATGTGGCTGGACCATAGGACACAGAACATGACCACCATTTAGAACACGATTCCAACATCAAAAAAATATAAATAAAAAAAAATAAAGAAAGAAAGAAAGAAAGAGAAAGAAAGAAAGAAAAAAAAATTTTTCGGGAAGCTCCAGAAGTTAAAAAAAAGTGCCCTCTGTAACCCAATTTCTGCAATGAAGCATATTGAGGATGATGATAAAACACTTGTATGAAAGTCTGCTTTTAGGAAATTTCTTATGACAACCTAATTTCATCTTTAAAACAATACCATTAAGTAAATACTATTAATATTCCCATTTACAGTGAAGGACATGCATAGGGAAGCCATGTGGTTAATAAATGGCAGGACCAGGATCTGACTACATAGAGACTTCGGGCTAAACCGGGGGTTAAACTATGGCTCATGCGCCAAATCTGGTCTGTCACCTGTTTTTATAAATAATGTTTTATTAGCACACCACTGTGTCCATTTGTTTACACCTTGTCTATGGCTGTTTTTCTGGCACAAAGGCATATAGCCGAATGGTTGTGACAGAGACCCAGAGGCCTGCAAAGCCTAAATTATTATGTGACCCTTTACAGAAAGTTTGCTGAGCTAGGGCTAACCAACCATCCTCTGGGCCACTTCTCAGGGAAGGCGGGCCGTCTCTCCATCACTGACAATGAGCCTCATCACAGGGAATGGGGGCCCAGAAGAAGCGAGACAAAGGAACAGGAATCCAGAATCTTCTCAATTGAGGGGGAGGGGTCCTGGGGAATCACTGACCAGCACAGGGGGTTATAATAAGCTTATTTCTCAAGAAGCACCCTGCCTCATTCCCAAAAAGATCTGAAGCAGGGCCCAAAGGTAGAGACGTAAGCTCCGCAAAGAGGGGAACTGTTTGCTTTATTCATTGCTGGAGCCTTATTATGGAACAAATGAACAGACACAGAACTTATGTTTGTGAATCAGGAACTATGTGTACTTTATTTGAAGACAAATGGGGAACAGGGTAAAGGCCCATAGATGCACTGTCCATGAACACTGTGGTCAAGGTTCTGATTTGTTTTGTCTTTTAGGCAGATAAACTGCTCGAGGGGGACAATGCATTATGGAATCAGGTCATTTCCAACCGTCTTGGGATTTCCTTGGCTCCTAAGAGCTTTACTCACCGATCATTCTGTTTGCCAGGATTCTAGAATCAATAATAAATTTGAAAAAAATTTTTTCCTTATTATCAAGATAAATGCTAACACGGTGGCATGGGCTGTAAATGCTCATTTGTTTGGATTTTTCTTCTATCGGATTGAGTGACTTTTGATTTCTGGAAGAGGATTCGAAAACCACACTTAGCTATTAACTCTTTCTAGAAAACAAAGCTGGACACAGAAAGAATAACCCTGTAGACTCTAGCTGGTGTACAACACCCCTGAGTAATGTCTGTCCCTAAAAGGACTAGTCATCATGCTGTATTTCATCCAGACATGAGTCACCGTGGAACTTTAAATTAAAAATTTCAGCTGAATCATACTGTTACCAGAGGACGGGAAAGTACCTCTGGAAGAGCAGGCAGGGGAGAAAGGGACCTGGATTACGGAAGGTAAGTCAGGATGGCAAGTATATGGAGAGATGTGGACAGAGAGGCGAGTTCGCAGACACTGGGGAGCAGTCATACCGTGGCCGGGGATGGAGAGGGAGAAAATCGGGTGAGCGATGGAGAAAGTTCCCCAAATTGCACTCTGGTGCCACGTGGCACCCCGTTTGGGAAGGCTGGCTCTGACCCAGAACGGCTCAAATGTGGACACAGCCTTTCTGCCCAGGCACGCTACTTCCTGACACTTGGATGCTGGGGAAATATTACAAGTTTCAAGTTTACAGACCTCAACGGAACACTGCTACATGGTAAGTCCCACCTGAAGTCAGATCTGAATGTTCTATTTTAAATACGACACAACAGCTGTGGGAAAATCCTCAGCATCTCCTTGACCCCACCATCGAGGGGCTTTCTGCCTGGTCTCCTGCAACTCTAAGTAAATGAGCTACTATAATTCCAGTAAAATCGAAGGAGCTGCAAGAGGTTTAAAGCAAAAGCTGTGATGTAGTTCAGGCAGGTGCTTTGAGCACAGAAGCCTGGAAGCTGGACAGCAGAGGCTCATGTCCTTCACTGCACTTGCCCTTGAGCTGGTAGAATTCCAGTCCAAAGTCCATGCCCAGGAGGGAGCACCACAGGCATGGCCTCTAATGAGCCTCTAGAGAGAAATGCAATTCTGGCCTCAAGCCCTCTGACCTAGCCCCCCACCTTTTTTTTTAAGTATTGAGTTCTGACCTTTATAAAAAGCTAGACTCACTGCCCAGGAAAACAGGAAGGTTACTCACCAGGAACCCATGGAAATGAGGCATAAAAGGTGGGTCAATATTTCTCCATCAGCAAAGCTAAGTCTCAGACGTTTCCAAGAGTGACTACCATCATGTTGCCCCAGTACGGCCCCTCCCTCAACTGTGTTCTGTACCAGCAGTTTCTGACCCATTGGTTGCTAATGACCTACAACTACAGCATGAAGTTCAGCAAGGGTCTGTTTAGCTTCTCAGCAATCTCTCCTGCCTGGGACATCAGAGAAGTGCTGGTGCTTGGGGTCCCAAAACTCTCTGGAAAGGTCCATCCTCCACAGAGGTGGTGTGACGTTGGGGATGGGGCTCCTGTCCTGAACTATGAGGGGGAGGTGGGCGTAGATAAAGGAAGTGAAGGAAAAAATAATTAGAGAAACAGGCCTGGCATCGATACTTGAAGCTACCCCAAGCCTTAATACATCTTTGCACTTGAATGCCTCTAAATATTAATAGGGCCCTTTGGAAAGAACTTCACTTTACACATAAATATATTTTTTTTCTATTTTTTTTCCTCCTGTATTTTTTAGGAGCAGAGATTGCCAGCTGATTTCTACTGGCCGAATTTTACCTGTGTCTACAGCAAGAGATGTGTTTGGCCTCCACCAAGCTCTGAGTTTTAATTAGCTGTCAATATTAAAAGAAGTCAGAAGATGTCTTACTAAAAAAAAAAAAAAAAAAAAAAAAAAAATTGTGTTTTTGGCTTCTCTTGAAGAACCAGAAGATCTGACGGCACAGGACCCTCCTCGGCGTGGCAATAATCAGCTGCTGCCAAGTAGCAGCGGCTGCCCCCTTTGGACAGGGCTTGTGTTCACCCCCTGCCCCTGGTCCCCACCCTGCTGTCACCAATCCTGAGGCCTGTTGTTTGCTGCCATTTAGTTATATTATTTGTGACTCATTTATGCTCCCAGGGCAAGCAGGGGCTTAAGGTCAGGGCTGTTTAAGTATTTGCCATCAACATCCACTTTCACCAAGTATCAGCCTGCCAAAAGCACTTTTGAACACTTTTATGTTTTACATCCTTAAGAATTCATTCTACCTCAATATGATCTATATATTTCTTTGGGACAAACCTTCATTTTGGAGAAGGAAACAACAGAGGGACTAAAACAAAACCATTGGCATCTCATTAGTGTCGACATTTCAGCCACAGTTCAGTACCTCCACGCACGCACACACACACACGTGTACACACACGTGTTTCTTTAGGGGGCGGGAATTCCCGGGAATCCTAATTAGCCTGAGGAAGAGAAAGATTCAAAAAGGAATTAACCAGTTACATAGACTGTGATGGCTACCGTACGAATCCTGTGGACAGCCAAGATGCAGGTGATTAGAGAAATAGAAAAAATTAGGAGCTGTGACCTGGAATGTAAGGCAAGTGCTTAGAGGAAGGAATGTGTATTAAAAGTGGAGATGTCTGGTGAGTAGAGACAAGTATGGGTAGAAAGAAGAAAGGGAGGGAAGTAGGGAGGGCAGAGGGAGAAAGAAGACAGATGAATCTGGGAGGGAAGGCAAACACAGACACTCAATGGGAAGGAGACAAAGAGCTGGCCTTTTCTAAAGATCTGGAGCAGAAATGAAGATGCCGGCCCGAGAGCTTAATTACACCCAAACCACCTCCCGAGTTAATGCCAAAATGTCCTCCTGCCATTTGGAGAAGCACAGTCCTTCTTTCTAATGAGAATACCACACTTGGAACCTTGCCTGTCTCCCCGCTGACGTGCCAACCAATTTCTTATGCAGAAATCAACCATGCTTATTTCTGGGATAGCTCTAGTCCCCATTCTCGCCATGATAATAGGCCTCACATGTTAACACAGCTTGCAAAGGAAGGGGATTATGCAGCACTTCTGTTCTTAAATAAAGAGAAAGATTAACACTTAGATTCTGTCTTCCAGCAGGTGTAACCACAAGACTCTGGCCCTTCCTGAGGCCAAACTTCCCAAAGAAAAGACGGTTCCATTAATTTCGTTGATATTCTCACCTCGAATTTCTGCCTGAGCTCCACGTTGCCTTCTTCATCCCCTTCTGGAATGGGTACGTTGTAGTACTCACCTTCCTCTTGGTTAAGCAGCTTGTACCTTTGGGAGACACAGGAGGAGAGGAGGGTGAGAAACACTGCGTTTCTACCACAGATACAGCAACTTCTCTCCTTGGACCTCCGGGCCGGCTGTTTCTGAAATGTGTCCTGTGGGGAGACTATAGCCAGATAACTTCACGGCCGATGGTCATTTTAGACAGAAGCCGGTTTGTCTGCTGACTCTCTAAGGGCTCTAACGTCTTCAAGACTATCAACCTTTGGCTGACACATACATATTCAACCTTGGGCATTCTTACCATCCACTGGCCGGCATCTTCATCAGCTCCGAGACTCCAAAGGAAAGGGATCCCATGAAATCATTCCTTGTTGTTCGATCCCAGTCCCAGATTTCTACGGACAGCCGTCGGTCTTTATCCGAAGGTTTTAATTTGCTACAAAAGAGAGCACGGGCGCACACAGGCACACAGACACACAGACACACAGACACACAGACACACACACACAGTTATCTGGAACCTGGTTTCTTGGGAGCCACACCCCATGGTCATGACGGGAGTCCGAGATTAAAAAACCAATAGTATATTCGATTCACTTCCTGGGGTTCCCCACTGCCAACAGAGTACCCGCCCCCAGCAGCCAAAGCTCCAGACGAGCGGCTGGCAAACTAACACCCACAGGCCAAATCTGGCCCGCCGCTTGTTTTTGTAAATAAAGCTTTACTGGAACACAGCCATGGGCTTTTGTTTACATACAGTCTACAGTCTACGGATGCGCAGAACTGTGTGTGGTTGCAACAGACTGTATGACCCAGAAAGTCTAAACTATTTACTAACTGGCCCTTTACAAAGCTTGCCAGTCTCTGTTCTACACAAAAGAGCTACGTTTCCAGTCATCCACAAAGAAACCACTTCCTGTGTTCTAGTCTGCAAGGAGGACCACTGGCTTATGCTCAACTGCAGGCAGTGCTTTCTTACCCCTGGTGGTTTTATGACCCCCTCTCCCCTCCCACGGCCCCCTTCCTTCTTTCTCTTCTACCATCTCTGCCTCTGAAATCCTGGCACTCCTTTAAGCTCCATTTTAAATGTCACCTCCTCCAGGAAGTCTTCCCTCTTTAAAGGTGAGGATGATCTTCCCATTTCAGGGGCAACAGCATGTGACTCCTGAATTCCTTGTTTTAGAAATTATTATTTAAATTCTTACCTTACCTTCTCCAATAACCCTCAAAAGAACTCAAGTCCATCAATAAGTGGGACATACCTTATACATTTTGACATCATCCTTAACATAAATGCAGTTTTTTGCACACAGGAGGTACTGATAATAATTTGGGGCCTGCATCACGTAACTCTTGGTTACCATCCACCAAAACAGGTGATGACCGTGACCTCTTAGCAGTGGTCTGAGAAAGTCTTAGGAATGAAGTGATGTTTAAAGACATTTACAACAGGTCCGCCCCATTATCTCTCACAGTGAAGTGGGCAGGTTTGTGATGTGTGGGGAGAGAATTCAACTGAGAAGACAAAACTTACAACGTAAAGGACTCATTCCATTGGGGGTTTAGTGTGGAGCGGATGGTTTTGGTTTTCTGTTTGCTTTCATTCTTCGGATCAGGAATAAGTTTCAGCTTCACATACGGATCTGAAAGCCCATTTGGATCCATAGGAATTAGATTTTTTGCATCTCGTACTGTGAAGAGAAAAGGAAAGAGGATCAAATGTTATAAAAAGAGAACTGACCTGTATTGCCCAGTGTCCTGAGTCAAGACCCAGCTGAATGACAGAGACGCCAAGATGGTGTTTAGAGGGAGAGGAGGTGAGGACCAAAAAGCTCTGATCTTTGATATGAGAAAAGCTGTCTGCTGTCATTGCTGCCAGAGACAATGGGCATCACGCGGGCCCTGTGGTCAAGCCTTGGGACAGCAGCGTCGGCCTGGATGCCTCATATGAGAAATGCAGAAGCCCGGGTCCCTCCCCAAAGCTGCTGCAACAGAATGTGTATCTAAACAAGATCCCCAGGTGCTGTTTGCAGCCCTTCTCCAGAACTGGTCCTGCCCCCCCACCCGGCCCCCCAAGCAACCAGCCAACCCAGGCCATGGTACTGCATCACTTGAACTCCTGAAAGGATTCATTTCTTTTCTTTGTAAAGGCCAGTGACTTCCAATCTGGCTGTACACTGGAATCTCTTGGGAGGGGGTTTAAAAATCCCAGTGCTAGGATGCCTGGGTGGCTCATTTGGTTGGGCTCATTGGTTGGATCCCAGGGTCCTGGGATCAAGTCCCACATCAGGCTCCTTGCTCAGCGGGGAGCCTGCTTCTCCCTCCCCCTGCTTGTGCACACACGCGCGCTCTCTCTCTCTCTCGGACAAATAAATAAAATCTTAAAAAAAAAAAAATCCTAGTGCTCCTGAGGCACCTGGGTGGCACAGTCCATTAAGCGTCCGACTCTTGGTTTTGGCTCAGGTCGTGAACTCAGGGTCATGAGATCGAGCCCCGCATTGGGATCTGACCTCGGTGGGGAGTCTGCTTGTGACTCTCTCTTCCTCTCCCTCTGCCCCTCTCCCTGCTGTCCCTCTCTCAAACAAATAAATAAATCTAAAAAAAAAAAAAAAAAGTCCAGTGCTCACAGCTAATTTAGAATCCCTGAGGGGTGTGGTCCACGTTCTTAAGTGCTCCCCAGGTAATCCTACGTGCAGCAGAAGAGCCATCGGTGTGTCTGCCTGTAACACAGAATATGCTCCACAGCTGTGCTATGCCTTGTTCTGCAATGTGCACACGTGTCCCCAGACCAGTAGCACCCGGGACATCAGCTGTGCACTCATCACATGTGTGGAATCACAGGGCCCGCCTCAAAATCACAAACTCAGGACTCTCACTTTAGCCAGACCCCCAGATGATTCCAATGCACACCCTAGATTGAGACGCACTCATATGGGAATCCAAAATGATGAGGAGGAAAGGCCGCTTCATCCAGAGAGGGAGGCATGCTCAGAGATGTAGCTAGCAGGGGCTTGTTACCTCTGGGGGAACGGGTAAAGCCACTGCATGGAAATGAGACAGGTCATTATCTAGCACTCTAAGAAGGGACAGAAGCCTGAGCCTGCCTATCCCAAATGTCTTCCTCACCATCTTTGGATGGCATCTTCCCCAACATGGCTGATACTTCCCATCATCAGGGTCGCTAATTAGCCAGATGCCATGAGTACACATCAAACTGGTTCTCCCAGCGTAGCCCCTGGACCAGCAGCATCGGCACTACTGACTGAGTCAGAACTCTAGGGGCCAGTGCAGTGGTCTGTGTTTACCAAACCTCCTGATTCTGATGCACAGGGGAGCTGGGGAAACACTCTTCTAGCCTACCAGTACAGATCATCAGTTGAGGGCGACTGTTAAATGAAGTCCTTAGAAGAAGGTGCTGGGATTGGCAGTGGACAGAGATAGAGGAGGGGCTGGAAGGATGTTAAAGATATTGGGTCCCTGGACATTGCCCTAAGTCACAGACCAGCACTGCCCGTTATCAGCCTGGGGACACACGGAGCGCCCGTGCCTGCTGGTGAATGGCCTTACACCCTCCTTGTCTGGAAGCCTTAGCACAGGCAGGTGACAGGACCGTATCCAAATGGTCTGAGTGGGGAGTGGGCTGGTTCATATCTACTAGCCACGGAGAAGCCAGGCTTCTGTTCCTCTTATTCACTTATGCTTTCCAAGGATTATTATCCCCATAATATCTAACCTCATCCAACTGGGAGTGGGTAGAACACTAAGCAAGCTCAGCACACCTGCTTTCAAATCCTGCCCCCCTCATGTACTCCCAAGCACTGGGAAACATAAGTTCCTGAGCCTCTGTTTCTTCCCTTAGGAAAGTGAAGAGGGGCTCATTCCCAGTGAGACAGGATTGTTGGGGGAAGTAAATTGTACATAATTGTACATAACTTTATGTGCTTTAGACAGTTCGTGGCTTGGAAAATGGAGGGGAAAAAGGATACCACGATGTGAGTGCTTACTCTGCAGAGTCCCCCACTGCCCACAATCTCAAAATCTTCAGTGGGATTAGGAGGTCTCCAGGGGACCTGGCTGTCTGAGAATTCCCTCAAACTCATGCTGAAGGTTTTTCAGTGCAATGCAGAAGATCCAGTCTCCTAAAACAGCAACCCAAGTATCACAAAAGATGAAAAGTTTGAGCATAAAAATAGAGGTCTCCCAAGAGGAACGGGAAGGGGCCAAAGGTCTCTTTCCAATTAAGCACTGGAATGAGAATCAGAGACTTTGTAAAAGGCAGCTAAAGCCTGGAATGTCCACCACGGAGGCTACAGCCCAGATAAACTAATGAGGAAGCAGAGAGGCCACCAAGAGTGTTGCCAGTTACAGAATGATTATGGGTGCTGGCTTTTTCATCCTCAATTTCTGGTCCTGACAGCCAGCACACACAACATCATTTAAGGCTGATCTCTTCTGAATGGTGATGAGTTATAGTCTTGATGGGATTTAAAGCTGTGGGCTTCCTACAGAGATACCATGATTGAAGTGGAAAATAAAAAGAGTTATCAATTCCAAATGTCACTGAAGTAGGCAGTGGGTCCAAATTTCAATTTCCCATTGCAGTGGAGAACAGCCTGCCTGATGTGTGATGGACTCATCACATGCCAGGGCACGTGAGTCAGGCCTGGGAGCAACGGACTTGGGGGCTCCCATCAGCTCAGATTGTGGGCTCTGGGGCCAGGCTGTGGGCACCTGAATTCTGGCTCTGCCACTTTGTGGTGCCATAACCCCGGGCAAGATCCGTAACCGCCCGGTGCCTCCGTTTCTGCATCTGCAAAATGGTAGCTCCCTGGGAGGATTCTATAAGCTCATACACGTGAAGTGCTGAGACCAGCGGTAGGCACACAGTGAGCGCCCAATAATGATTATTATCCTTGTTGTTAATACAAGTCGCTGGCAGAGAGCACAACCCTAAGGGCTTAGATGTTCTGAAACTGGACTGACAGCTTATGAGTTGGCAAGTGAATGCCGTGAAGAACAGTATGACACGGAAATTTTCTAATGTGGTTGCAACCACGTGGTGCCGGCAATGTCTTAACCTGAGCAGCAGTGGTGGTGGGCATCACTAGCAGGAGTAGGTGCGGGGAAGTTAGGGAAGAGAAAAGAAGAGCAAAACAAGTGGGGCGGTGGATGAGGAGGGCGAGAGGCAGGAGAGAGAAGAGAATGCAATCAGGACGTAGGGTTGGAGGGCAGTGAGGATGCAGCCCCCCACGGGGGGCGGGGGGAGGTGATGGTGGCTGGGTACATGAGGGCGGCGGATCTCCAGCTCAGCTGCGCATGGGCAGCAGATACCGATGTCTGGGCCCCACCCCCACAGGGTCCGATTTAATCAGTCTGAGCTGAGGCCCAGGCGTCGGCATCTTTGAAGCCTCTCAGGTGAGTATTACATGATGTCATCCCATGCACCTGGCTGTCATTCTCAAAGTGTGGTCCCTCGACCCATGTCACGGGCATCTCTTGAGGACTCAGTATATTATTCATATAAAAAAAATTCACTCACTTTTTAACACTCAACATTTAAGTGGGTTTTTAAAAATTTATTTGAGAGAGGGGGTGCGCCTGGGTGGCTCAGTTGGTTAAGGGTCTGCCTTCGGCTCCGGTCATGATCTCAGGGCCCTGGGATCGAGCCCCACGTCGGGCTCCCTGCTCAGCGGGGAGCCTGCTTCTCCCTCTCCCTCTGTGTGCCTTCTCTCTCTCAAATAAATAAATCTTCAAAAAAAAAAAAGAGTTCTTTAAAAAAATAAAAATAAAGAAAAAGGAAATGTGTCACTCTGATAAATGGAAAACCAAGATTGTCTGCTCTAAGGAGAAAGGAACCATAGAGATAAATACAATGAACATCTCTGTTAGGGTTCCCTCCTTCCAGCTGACACACTTGCCTGAGGCCTGCTCTTCACTACAAAGGGGAAATTAAAAAGCAGGGTTGAGCATTCAGGATATATTCCAGCCCCAGGGGGAAGTCCCTCTCTCCACCTTACAACTGAGAATGAAGGAAAACTGGGAAGGGAGTAACTTTCTCACCACGTAATTTAATGCTTTCTAATGTCAGTTGTTCAGCACCTTCAGGAATCCTCTGGAGCAGGAGCAGAAGTCCTCGCCCGGGTCGGGTCCCACCGCACACGTGGGAAGCCTGTGCCAATTCACAGGCCCAGAGGAAGGCGAGCATTTCACGGTGGGTCCAAGAACAAACCTGGCACAGGTCCCATGGCTCATTCCTCATCTCTCATCTTCTGGGAGAGCCACACTGTTCTGACCCCTGGGCTTAAGATACGGAAAAACTCTGCTGCGTAGCCCCTTGAGGACGGGACTCTCTCGGGGTAAAGCCCTGTCATGCCAGCTTGAGTTCCGAGAGGCCGAGGGTCTCTAAACACATGAGCAGCGGCTCATCCCCTGCCCCCCGCACTGCTCGGCACTAACCCCACACGGGCCCCGGACCCCGTGGCAGGCAGGTGGGGGGAGTGCTCCCCCCCTCCCCGCCCCAGCATGTCACAGAGGTTCTGCAGTGTCCATGAGGAGGACACGTCTGCTCAAGAAATACGCCTGCGCCATGGCAGCGGCTGTTTTAGGGAATCAAAGTCTGTTCTGGAATTCCAGACCTTCCATAGAAATCTAGAACACGGAGTAAGATGCCCATCTTTTGGCTTGAGGTGCG